TCAAAAAGTTTGATTCATGACATCGTTGATCATCTTGTTGGCATGTATTTCAACTATTTCTAAAAAAGGTTTATTGGCTTTTTTTAAAACATCCAACATTTTCCATTCTATAAATGTCAACCACAAGGGGAGCCATGAATCAAAACATGTACGATAAAAATTGGTTCTCGGTCGTTTTTTAAATATTGATTCCCAATACATTTCTTTTTACCTTTGAGTTTTCTTTAAAGCTTTCAACATTAAACATAAAGAGACTCCTTGGAACATAAAAAAAAAAACTCATATTCTTCGAGTTTCTTGATAGATTGTGCTCTCTGAATGTAGATCAAACCTTTCAGTCAAAAACAGATATCATGACTAATACTTAGGTTTTTTTTTAAAGTATAAAAGATTTTCTTTAACAAATCTAACATTACAAATACATGTACCTTCAAATCTTCGTGAATTGCATACATTAGTTCCCTCTTTTTTCTAATGTTTTCTTGACATGTTATAATTTCTTTAGACGTTGTTCTAATCTTTATCTCCATCTAGAATTTTAGAGTACATATTGCATAAAAAAGCACAAATTACTTGGTGCAAGACACTTTATTTATAATCCATCTTCCCATTTTTGGTAGTTTCTGCTTGAGAATTTTCTCTCTTTTTTTCAGGATAGAAATTATAAGTTTTTAAGCTATATAAACGGATTGTTAATAAGAACAAAAAATGTGATCGAAGCATAAAAAAAGTATTTCAGTTTGTTTATGGAATATTGCTTGTACCATCTACATTGTAACGGAGAGCCATGCTTTCCAAGACTATAGGCTCTGTGCACACTGTGTCTGTTCTCGTGGCTTATGACGTCAGTTTATTCCAATCCAGTACAAGTCTCGCAATGACTTACCTCAAGCACTCTCTCATGTGCAGTCATTTCTTTATTTTTTCTTTCGATCCCCTTTTTTTCTATTGTCAACGTTTGTCTTGTGCTCTATATTAGTTTCTATAATCTGTCAAGAGGGAAATACATGGACTTTTAAGTAGTTTTTCCTAACATAAAACTTAAAACACGATAAGAGAACAAGAATTTAAATATAAATTTTCATACATTCTTAAATTGTCTCCCGTTAAAAAAAGAATCATCACTGCATGTGCTGAAAGTACTAGAGTTAGTAAACAGTACGGTGTTACTCAAGGATACAGAACCATTTCGTTGTAATTACACGATGATTATATCTTTCAGAAAAAGGAACAACTTTTGACTTTACCTGTTTACTCACTTTTGTTGCTGCAATCTCAGTTTTTTAGTATCTTCGTTCAATGATGCTCTGAATATATTCCTGGTGAAAATGCATGTATATACCAATTAAGAGAGAGAGATACACACGATGAGTATACATCTATTCCTCATTAGTTAACGTTGAATTTGCTAGATTATGAAAAGCACAACAATTATGTTGTAGCAATTTTTGGAATACCTTAATTCTTTCCGCTTCTACATTTGATGCATCAGAGTCTCTGGTCTGAAAAAAAAATGAAAGTCATAATTTTGTTTAAGAAAAATAATTTATCTTTTGAAAGTAAAACATTCTACCTGTTACCAGTCTTGGGGTAATGCTTACTGTAATGGCCATGCGTAGCAACGCATTTCTTTAAATTGAAATACAATGTAATTTGTCAAACTTCATAATTTAGGAGCTTTCTGTTTTTGTAAGAATTCATTTTCCCCCCTCTATTTATGCTAGGAAAACTACTGAGTTTTAATGCTACTAAAATTACCTTCACTAAGAAACGAATCTAGAGTTTTCGTGAAATATTTAAACACTTGCATGCATAATGCAATAGAAAACTACTCACTTTTTTGTAGGGATGTCAAAATATTTATTTTCCTTAGTCGAATATTCGATTGCATTATTCGAACGATAGTCGAATATATTCGGAACATTTTCCGAAAATAAAACTGTATATCAAACTTCACTGGTACATGACGTATTTAGAATTCAGAAAGCCCTTTTACTTAATTTATTTAAAAAGTAACATCAAAATTTATGCAACGTAACGCGTAGATAGCATGTTTTTTTCCTAATTCTCCAAAATGTATGATTTCCCCGTCAATAGAATTCATAAATCGATCTGTGCATGCAGTCAGTTTTTATTTTAGCAAGCAAAGAAAAAAAAATGCTAGGAGATTTTTTTTAGAGCTTATTATGAAATAAATTGGGGGAGGGGGGTTAATCTCACACTATCCAAACGTCAAGTGCCTGTGAAATTGTTAAACAGTTAGATACTGCTTATTCGATTATTGTTTGCTCTGGCTATCAAAATGGCCTTATACAGTTTAAAATGTAAGCGAATTGTTTTAATAATTATCGGAGTTTCAAAACATGTCAAAGTTATGGTTTCTTCCTTGCGTTTGAGCAATCTTAAAATAACAAAAAATAATTGGTACATGGTATAAGATCAAGTCCAATTAATAATTTTACAAACAAAGCCTAGTAAATTGGTGAGTGATTTTAAATTACAAAACAACACAGGCAGTTACTGCTAAATAATTCCCGCAGTATACTCGGCAGTAGTGAAGCACTTATAATCACTGTACTTTTTATATGTACATGGAAAATCAACCGTTCTTATCGACTGTCTCTTGGGTAAGACGGTTTCTCAATTTTCTGATGAGAATTCCATCACGTTATCACTCTTTTATTGTATTTATTTAATTATGATAATATTCGAATGTCGTTTCATTATTCTATCGTCGGTCCATTCGACTGATAGTCGAATAGTCGACTATTCGTTGACATCCCTACTTTTTTGTGCCTGTGCAAATCTAAAAAATATTTCTCAGTCGCCCAGGACGGTAGAAAGTCCTGAGAAAGAAAATCATTTGAGTGACTGTCAACTTTTTTCATCCTATATAAATAAATTTTGAATCTGGTAACGTCATTTCTTTTTTACTTTAGATCATCATCTATCACTGTTGCAAAATTATTTTCTCTTTTTTGATGGAGAAAATAGTAGCTCTTTGAACTTCGACATGAAGATTTTGTGTAGAATAGAATTCTTTTGAGTACACTGTATTCACTATTGGTACCTACAATGTACGTTCACATCTGCATTGTGTCTAATAATGCACTGAATATTTCCAATAGTTTTCTGAACCTTTCTTTGAGATACAAACTCCCTCTGCAAAAGAGCACAATCATTCTTAGATTTAAAATCATAATTTAATATCATATAATTTTTTTAGCGTTGTATAATTCTGTAAAAATCCCTGGAATAGGTACACTATAAAAATACTTGCCATTTTTAATTTGTCATCAGCAGTGATCTCAAAATAGTTGGGATTTAATCGATGTACTCTGTAACGCTCTCTTTCTTTACCGACTTCTGTTGAAAAGAGTTACGAAGATGTTGCCGAGTACAGCATTCTCGATAAAAAAAAATCCCTATTTATAAAGATACAAAGAAAATTCTCATGTATACAAGAAGGGTAGAAAACAGAAAAAGGCAATCTTTCATTATTTTTAACAATCTCACCTTTGTGTGTGTCTTCTCTTTGTCTCGTTCCTTTATTCATCTGAATCACCTTGGTCCTGCTCTTCTTCAGAGTTTGCTAAAAGATTGTTTTCCTCTATATTTCCATGAAAATTATGCTGACCAGTGGCGGATTCAGGGGGTTGGGGGGGGGGGGTCGGGAAACCCCGCCCGATCAAAAAAATTTTTTTACAAGTGTCATTTTAACAATATATTGCATAAATGCGACTCTATCCAAGCCCATTGTTTTACACAAAGAGGTGAAATATACAGTCACCATGCGAAATCCCTTTCCGTCTGGGCGCACACAATATACAGGTAATCAACAGTACTGTACATGCAGAGATCATGATAGTCCGTGCAGCTAGTGATGACGCAACGTCATACACACCAACAACAAAAACTGCTCATAGTTTTGGCAAAAGTAATATTGTTTCGAGAATTTTCTTCTTTCTTCGATAATTGAATGTTATTGAACTCCGTGAATAAACTGTGATTATTATTTAATAGAAAAAAAAATTAATACATCAGGGACGTATACTAGTTGAAATACGTTGTGACCTGTACCAAAAAGCACATTGAAAGTATTCCTTTTGTAGATGGAAGTTACAATGCAATTTTAAAAAGCAAAAGATCTGCATTTTTTTTTTTTTTTGAATTACAGTTGAATGATGTTGAATAAAACCCAACTAACGGTTACAACTTTTTATAATGAATTGTGGCAAAACTAATACGTATAAATTAGAGGTCCTGTCAAAACAAGAATTGGCCACTTTTTTATTGATTGTTTTTCAAGACTTTTTTTTCAAACATTGGACAGGTAAGAGGGTAAAAAAAATAGAATTAAAGAGTGCATTTATGTTAGAAATTATAATTACCCCCCCCCCCCCATTGAATAAGCAATAATTCCAATTATTTTCCAAAATAATTTATATTTATTCTTCAATATGAAATATCATTATGTGTATATATTGCAAATTATATGAACAGTATAGTCAAGTAGTTGAAAAGAGTAATTAGGGTTTCTACACAGAATTCGAATGTTCTAAGTGTTGGAAAATTGCACATCATGCAGTTGTATTTTGGTAGACAAAGCTTCACATGCGACAGTGTGTTGGAGTTGCATTTTAAAATGAAAATTGGATATTATATATAGCAAATGGCGATATTTCTAATTTTATCAGATTTTACATTTCATTTTTTCTTTAGAAAAGTCTCATTTTTCAAGTAATAATCCCAAAATTTTAATTTTTTGTTCAATTTCTTGAAAATTTGGGTAGGTCGGTCTTGAAAAACATCCAAGAAACTTTATGCATTGAATGGGGATATCTTGAGACAATCTTTTCTCCGTGGTGAAAAATTTAACCTTAATTTTTTTTCTTTTCGGGGAGAGAAAAACATTTATATATGAGGTACAAAATTGCGTCATTTTAATTCAATTCGGCATAAAGTGGGTTAATCGGAAGGGTTTCTTCATATATAATCTTATTCCGGTTTCCATTAAAATGGCGTCGAAGTCAGACTTCCTTGTTTCACGCTTCAGAGAAACTTTATCAACCAAATAATTGGGATGGCGTGTGGTTAAAGCATCAGTTTGAAAGGTTGTTATTTGTATCTGTGTATCTGTTGTTTACAGTTGATATTGTAGCACGTGTAACTAGGTGTAAATTTGGATTTTTTTCTTTCCTTGTTTGTTTACCTGTTTGCATACTTCATGTAACTTCTTGATCAGCTCTTTAACCTGGATACACTGTAGGCATTTGTGTGAACCTTAGAAAATCTGTGTCATTGCAAGGTCATCCTTGAACAGAGTGCAATGTTAATTTAAAAAAAAAAATTAAGGGATAAGTTCACAAAGTGTCTCTTTATCCCAATGTAAGTCACCCCAACGAAACCCCCATTCTGCCTAAATGAATCTGAATATGGTCTCTATGTATGAATACTAGATCTGTCTATAAGGCAGGTATTGCATTGTTTAATGTACATGTATTTATGTAATTAGCCTAGGTATTAATATTATGAATATATTTGGTTGGATTTCCAGTCAAGTTCATTTCTTTGAAATGAAAATATTAGATTTTAGAAAAACTTTGATAATTTTTTTGGACAATGAACATTAATTTGGGTGTCTTTATTCTTTGTAATAAAATTATTTCAGTTTTTCTTGATGATTAATCTCTCTTAATTCTTTAAAGGATAATAACATGCCATATCAAGATAAACAAGGGAGAACCTGTGGATTTCTGAACATCCTTGAGAAGGAGTCATCCACCAACTCAAAACGAAGATATTTCATACTTGATCCCTGCGAGGAGACACTTAAGTTCTACAATGACAACCCTAATGTATGCCTTTAAATAAAATCACATGATGTGTGCCTTTAATGAAATCACCTTTTGATCCCTCATCCAGACTGAAAAAAATGTCAACGTTGTTTCTTTTTCAATTTTCTACATGGTAATGCATAATTGAAAAATTTAAATACTGTGTCGTTTTTCAGAACTTACCCTCTAATCAACAGAGTCCTTGTGGTGAAATCAGAACAGCCGTTATTTCAAAGGTAAATATTTCCTGTGTTGTAGTACAGATTTGAACACATAATGATTAAGCTAATCAGTGAGTGTATTGAATTATTGATAGTCAATGCTATCCTCTTTGTTTAGGTTAGTGAAGTCTCAAAGAAACAGAAGCCAAAGCTGAATTCCTGCTTTGGTGAGTATTATAAAAAAATATAACCTTGACATTTGTGGTAATTATCATCCAAATACTAAATTGTTTCTGTCTCCATTGAAGGTGTTCATGGATACTTATCATTGTGTTAGCTTACTATAATGAACAGATTTATACAATTTAACATCATTTATACTCTTATACATAACCATGTCACCATTTTTCTTATATATATTTTAAAAAGTCTAAGACTACAATATTTAATATCTTTTTCTGTGATAAAAAAAGTTTCCAAGTAAATGCACAGGCATATCATTGTTGATTTAATAAATCTTTTGCATGATGAAATGATTAGTAAATAGTAAGGGTGATTTGACTGGGCCAGAGATTGATAATAGAGTTTGAGAGAATACTTCATTAAATTCTTTATATGCACTGATTTATACATATACAGCATACAACATTAATCATTATCATTCATAGGCCTGTATAAACAGGAAGATCTTGTCATAAAGGATGACTGCACTTAAGGACATGTGGAATTTGCGACAAAATAAACTTTCAAAACAAGCATTTTCTTTTCATTGCAAGAATGGTCAACATCCAATCTACAACTTTCTGTAATTACGTTTAATAAAAGTGTGTATTTACGCAGTTCGAATCTGTTTTCAAAGGCAGGGGTCATCACAATTTCTTGAATCTCCGTTCGATAATGAGGACGCCCACATTTTTACTGACTGTACATAGTCAGCGCATGTTTGTCAATTGTTCTACGTTTAACAGTCGTTGTATATTTGCATAAATAATAATGTTTCAAAAGGAGATTAATAGACAAACATGCGCTCATGGTAAAAAAGAGAAAAAGCTGCTTCTTCTTACATTCGCTCTCTGTGTTGTAACCAAGGATTGTGACATGTTGGATATTATAATTCACCACGTGATTTCTTAACTCAGGTAACTTTGTGAATACTAAATTCCGTCACGTGACTTGTAAGGAAGCATGTTTTGTGCTAACTAGGACATTGTGTTTGAACACGTTAAGTCATTTGGCATTGATATAAAATCTGCTTTAATTACATTGACGTGCTCATATTGTTAATTTCGTTTTGAAACCTTTGTCAGAAGTGTATTTGTACCATACAGAATAAAGAGGGAGATTGGAAAGAGTGATCACGTTCACTTTTCCAAACATATCATTGTTATTTATGTAGTCTAATTTTAGAGCCATTCTTACAATGTTAGCTCCACATCTCATGCATATCTAATGTTCAATCAAGGGCAGGTAAGTGTAAATTCACTATATCTGGAAAGAAGTGAGGACAAAAAACATTGAATCATTTTATTGTATCACAGTCTAAAGTCATTTTAAGATTTAAATTTGGTTCCAAATTGACAGCATTCTTTCATAAACATACAAAAGTAAGATAAGGTTTAGATATAAAAGCAACAGAAGCAACTGAAAAAGACTCAAAACAGGCGTTAAGTACAGTCATCCTTTGTCATTAATTGTTTGAAGACCATTATGACTTTCTGAGTAAATATTAAGATTGTAAAGGGGTCAGAAAATTTTGCCCATTACATTAAAGTAATAGTTTTGGATTAGTGTTGAATAGGAAAGTTTTTTCAGGAAGAATTATAGTGAGGGTGGGGGTATCTGTGGAAAATATTTAATATCAATCCCTCACAGAAAATGAGATTCTTCATAATGTTATTTTTAAATATCAACATTATGTAATATGACTAAATTGAAAAAAAATATATATTTGCAGGAAGGGTGGGGATGTTTGTGGAAAATGTTTAATATTAAACTCTCTTAGATCCTAAATAAGATTATTTTAGATATCATCATTATATAATTTAAACTAATCTGAGCAAATTTTTTGTTTTTGTTTTAGTTATAAACCATGCAGGGAAAACACAATATTTACAGGCTGAGAGTACGGAGGATATGCAAGGATGGATATATGCATTAAATAACATCAGTAAAATAACGGTAGGTGTAATAATATAACAAAATAACATAGTGAAAATAACAGTACATGTAATCATACCAAGAAAATAATTGTCTGATTCTATTACATGGCAATGTATGAATCGTAATAAAATTGGAATGGAAAATCCACCCCACCCCCAAAATTTAAAAACAAACTTGAAAAAGGCTAATAATGTAACAAAACTTACACAGTGCATCTTATATTATGTGTGAATTCTGAACCACAATATTTCAACTTTGAGTTTCTTTCTTGCAGGTTCCAGTGGAGGAATCTAAGAATTTAAATGACCCAGAAGCTGGTTACAAAACAGAGATTGCTGGAGGAGTACCAATTAAAATACCAATAAGGGTATATGCTTTGCTGTTTTTTTTTACTTAAAATTCATATACTTACTTATGGCGTAATCTGTGCAATGTTTTTTTTTAAATTTATTTGGTACTTTATTGAAGAGTATTGTGATATGAACAATCAGTGTAGTAGTGTTTTCTTGAGCCTGTTTCCATGTACAAGCACCTTGGTAAACTTTTTGCCCCACAGTTAAATATTTAGTTACTGTAAAATTTCTCTGCCCCTCATTAAGATCTGGAAAACGGGAATGAATAAAATTTTGTATAAATTACCATAAAACTTTTATATATATTACCCCAACATTTGGTTTTGTCTGACGTTACAACAAAATGTCATTGATCTCCAAATCAAAAATGCTGTTTATGCACTTTGAGCCACAGTGAAACTTTTAGATGGTGAAGAACCCTGCTACAAAAGTAAAATGCTTTTTTTAAACATTATTTATAAAACAATGATACATGTGGGTAGTAGGAGAAACAGTGGGCTGGTAATAAATGAAGATGTATGTAAGTGAAATATTACCCAATGCCATAGATTAAGTCTAGAACTCAGATTTTGCTTTGAGATGGAACATATTTTTCTTTCTGATAATATTAGGGTTTTTTCTTTTTCTTTTTTTTTCTGTTAAAGAATTAGAATGTCCTTTTTTTCTGTCTTAGCATAAAAAAAGCAAGTGTTTTTCATTCTAAAACACCACAGTCCAAGCTCCGAGGTTTAGGAAATTCTTATCAGATAAAAACTTGTTTTAAAAAACCCAGATGATGAAAGATGATGCCACTTTTTATATGGCGATGACGGCCATAAACTTCTGAATCATTACAAAAGAGTTCATGTTTGATAAACAGGAAATATGATTATAGGAGTTTACTTAATTTTATGTCTTGGTTTTGTTTATGTTGACAGCATGAGAATACTAATGAATCAGGTGCTTCAAGTGAGAGTGAAGAAAGTATGGAAAATCAAAAGATAATGGCATCTTCTCAGCCAGCACTCAAAAAAGGCTACTGTGTCAAGCAGGGGGGCGTGGTCAGTATAACAGCTTTTGATTTAATCTTGACAAAAAAAGGCAATACATGTAGTGTGGCATGGCACATGAATTCCCTGAATTAGCTTTTCTTTCCTGTCATTAGAGGTTTTATCAGTTTTGATGAATATATGTATCTGTAATATTTATTTCTTGTATTGCTCTTTCAGAGGAAAAACTGGAAGAGAAGATATTTTGTTGTGAATGATGGTGGCCTGGCCTATTATAGCAATGAACAGGTTAGCACGAGAAAAAAGTTGGCCTTGATCATGGTGAGATGAAATGTCTCTACTACAGTTTGAAAAAAAAAAAATATGCATCTATTTTAAATTCTTAATCCCTAGTTTAATAATCATATCTGTTGATTGACTGCTCTTTTTTTCCTGTTAATTTTTTTTTTGTGAAATATTGTACAATATACAGTCTCTTGGTGATAGGATTTAACTTTGATTGTTCATGTAAATGTGTACGTGTATCGTATCTAAATAAAGGTAAATGGAAGATAAATTGACCTATCAGACATACTTTAATTTTATTTAAACATGAAACATTATAGAAATAAATTGTAAAATGTTTTTTTTTATATAAACTGTCAGAATTACTTTATGAAGTAGGTTTTAATTTGATGTAATGTTTTTGTTTCAGTCAGATGAACCTCTAAGGCATATACCCAGAGGTGACATCACTGACGTCAGAAAGGCCACCATGTAAGTTATTGTATCCCTAGTAAACATTGTCAGTTTGTATTACCAAAGGTGACATCACAGACATCAGAAAGGGCTAACGCTTTAGCTTGATTGGTAGAGCACTGCTGGCATGCCAGAGGTCCTGGGTTCAAATCCATTCGGAGGCACAAACATTCTCTGTTACATTTGGTGTCCACATTGGGATTGGGGTATTCTCTAGTGGGTGAAAATGATTGCCCCCAGAACTTTGCCCCATAGGTGTTTGCACTCCATAAGAGATGAGGAAATCTCATTTTCTGGAGGGGGGACAATATGGTGGTGTTGGATATATGGCATCCTACTACATATAGCTTGGGCTAGTGGGTTAACCCTTTAGCTCAATTGGTAGAGCACTGGATTGGCATACCAGAGGTCCCAGATGCAAATCCATTCTGAGGTACTAACATACCTCTGTTACATGTGAATACAATATAAAGAGAATTGTTTGACCTCTCAGTTGGTAATTTGCATCAGATAGCAGTTATAGTAGTTAGAAAAAGAAGCCCATCATAGGATCAATAAGTCGTCAGGTCAAGGTCAAAAACTGATACGCCTGAATAATGTTGTGGACTCAGTGACCATGACTGACCTTTCAGTTTTGAATGTACCACATATATAAGTCATATATAAATACTTCCTGCAAGTTATCAAATGGCCAAAGGAAAAAGCCTATTGCAGTAAAGGTCAAAAGGTCATAGTCAAATATTGTAATTGGCACAACAATCCTTTAGATACAGTGAGAGAACCTTATGACTGTGCTGTCTCATACTGTAAAAGTGGTTATTTACACTGGTTGTTAAGTACGCGTTTGTGACCATCAAACATTACGCGCGGTTGTAATATACGCGGCGCACGAGTTACTGGAAAAAAATTACGCGGCCATCGTTTACTAACATCGAGTTGTTCCCCTTTGAAAAGGTCAAGAAGTTAACACGCATGAATAAGAAAAAAAAATAGAAATAATTACATGTACAAACAAACTAAACAAAAGAATTTATACTGTTGGATTACTAAATATAACGGTGATCTGCACAGTCGAAAGCGATGAAGTGTGAACAACTGGTGTGCGCTTTATTGTAATTATTTACGCAAGCTCAAACTTCAAAGTGGGATCTACTTACCTGTATCTGTGCGGCGAGTGTTGGCAATTAATTCAATAGGTATGTTTTTAGTGACTGTGAGTTTGGGTAACATTTTGGACTAATTATTTGAAATTAAGAGGGACATACACGTACATACAAAGGAAATGAAAATGAGTATCGATGTTTTTAAGCTTTAATTGCGTGACGTTGCTTTAAAATATTTAATATGAAGATGCATTTTTCATTGCACATTTAAAAAAAAAAGAACAGTTACTTTTTCATCACTCTCTGTGATGTATTTATCTACTTACGTGCGTTCAATACCACAATTAATATATGACTGATTCGACCGGTTTAACAGTATAAGTCGTGGTCTAGAATGATTCCAGAAGTTTGAAATTTTGTGACCATACGCGCGGGGGTAATTTACGCGGTTCTTAGCTTACCGCGTAAGTAGTGTAAATTTCCCCCACGTGTAAATAACCACTTTTACAGTACTGAGTCAATAAGAAATGTCATATTGCTGGGGTAAGAAATGTTTATATCAGGTTGAATAGAGGGAAAGATAGCTCAGAACTGGTAATAAGAAAAAAAATCCAGCTTTTTGAAATGGATACTATTTTTGTGATATAACAGAGTACTGATACATGTACATCAATTTTTTTCATGCTCACCAATGCACACAATCTTAAGTAATTTCTGAAAATAACTTGGACAATAAAATGTTCATTCACTGTATTTGCCAGGTCTCCAGGAGCCAGGGACAATTTATTTGAAGTTCATACTTCTAAAAGGACATTCTACATACAGGTAAGTTTTCCTTGTCTTAAAGGTTAGATCTGAACAGGGATATGCTTCTTTGGAAAAGAGGATTTCTTGGGATTTGAAAGTCATAACGGTCATTCCTGAGTTCAGTGCAAAGTGCAAATCTGATATTAAAAAATTGGGGGGGGGGATGCTACAGATATCGATAAGTCTAGGAGATAATATTGATGATGTAAAAAATAATGTTGAGAAGAGGAAAGTACATGTATATGTATTTTTATGACGTCGAGCTCTTGGAGCTCGAACGGCATCTAGCGATCGGCCAAGTGAAATCGCCAAGGAATGTACGCGACCGAATGTGTCAGTGGATGCATCCGCAATAGAAAATAGCAATAGCTATAAACCAATTTCTTTTAAAACGCTCACAATGAATAATTATAGCTTGAAAATGAAATTGCATCAATTGTATCTACAATTAATTCTTTTACAAAAAACGATATTATGTTTTATTTTCACACAATAAAAACGTGATGGTTGTTGCGGATGAATTTCTACAGAAAGGTGCGTCGAATGACATGAATAACATTTTGGAACGATAACCGTGGAACACAAACAACCCAACAGGCGGTAAAATAATTTACAAAATTACATAAACACGAATACTATAAGACTGAAAAGATTGAATTTGTAAATCTTAGCTTTACTTTTACAATCTTCTGACCAACTTTATCCTAAAAACCGATGATGTTGACCAGTATTACTGTATTTCTCTATTTCCTCCATTTCCCAGTATACCGTATACCACACCCGATCGTAACTCGATCGTAATTGTAACAGAACAGTCTTGGTTGTAGTTTAGATGCAATCACTAATACAACGCTTTGACATTGGCAATTAGAAAAAATATTATATAAATTTATGAAATCCTTCATAGTTCTTCAACTGACTGAAAAGAATTTAGCATGAAACATGTTCGACGGTGTCTGGTCAATTCGAACCCTGCTCCATTCGGACCATGACATAAGGCCCCAGACTGTAATTGTGATATTTTGTTTAAAACTATTTTTTTTATTATTTCTCCTGAGTCACTCACTTGACTTATTGCTATCTTCAAGTTCAAAATGATCTTTTGAAATTGTTTTTCTTCTTCGACGTCATTGAAGCCTTTCAGGCTTTTGATTTCATTCTATCAAGGCAGGTGTTGTCTTCATTATTGGGGGGGGGGGGGATTCCCATACCATTTACAGATAAAGTAATAATATTTTTAAACCAATGAGACCCCAGCAAATTTATTAATTTAGACTTTTTTTCATTTTTTGGATTTGAAGAGTTATCCTTCCTAAAGCTGCATCTAAATTATTACTAATTCATATTTGTTGTGAAACATGGGGGCCCTTAATGGGGAGGATATATGCATTTAAGATACACTTAATTGGTAGACTGAAGCGATTACTAAAGTATTAATGTATTTGAACATTGCAGTGTGATACCCCAGAAGATGTACAGGAATGGATATCAGCAATAGAAAAACTTATAAATAACCAGGCAGTGAGTTCTCTTGTTTACTTATGTCTAAGATTCATATATACTTGGTAAACAATATTTGTTCATTTGACACATTGAAAAGATTCATCTAATGATATAACCTCAACTTTTGACCTCTTGAAAACTTCTTTCTTCAAAATATTAATTGAGATATTTAGATACTAGTATACTGTCAGGCACATTGCTAAAGTCTACAGCTTTTGGAAGGGTGAAACTCTAAAAGGCAATAAGGTAGTCTACAACCAGAGGAATTGTTATATTTTATGTTAAAATCTGTTGTTTAGGGTCAGGGTGATGGGAAGTGACATGTTCATGTCTGGGCCGTGATTTTGTTATGAATGAATATGGGATACTGTCAGGTTAACACTTGTATGACAAATGTGTACCATGATCCTGAAATAGAATCGATAAGACAAGGTCATAAGGATTGAAGTGAAAATTGTGTATTTGATGTAAAACACAAGAAACCCATACTAGACAGAAATATTGCTTATGGTTGCAGAGTTTTGTCAAATTTCTCATCCAGGCATTTGATCAAGGTCATAGTGTGAATTAGCTTTTGGTGAACAATTTTGCAAGATTATAAACTTGGTTTTTTTTTCACAAATATTTTTTTATGACAGGAAGTAAAAGCCTTTTGTGTACATGTATTGTGTCCTTATGTGCAATTTTCAAACATACAACCCACAAGAGACCTATTTTGATCGAATTTGTCAAACAACTGGATCTCAATCAGGAGTATTTGAGTATATACCTCATATACCATTGTATGGTCTGGGAGAAAATTTACAAACAACAAGTTGCACAAAAACATCTTGTTAGCCATGTAAATGGGTATCTGTAGATACAATAATAGTTTATTCAAACACTGTGGCCTACTTGTATAGAATTAAAATTACTTTACTTTACAAGTAGAGTACTTGTGGATTCCCCCCCCCCCTCCCCCCCAAATTGAGCCAAGCCTGAAAATAAACCCAGGCCTGCTTTCTTACCAAAATTCAAGATAAGCCTCAAGCAACTTATTTTCAAGATTTCAGGTTGTATGAAATATTTCCATTTGCTTTATTGTAAATAATGTCCAAACCACGAATTATTGATGTCCAAGTACAGATAAGGTTCATCTCAAGATGTTGGAAGAATTTATGTAAAATACAACTGCCATTTACATTTTAGCATATTACATCAAGAGAGAACTATCAAGTACAAACTATTGTAATATTTATCAAAACTACTAAACGTGGAAATTTAATCGCTTGATCTGGCATGCTTTTATTGTGTGGAAGTCAATTATCTCTATTATCATCTCATCATTCTGAGAATAAATTTAAACAATGTAGCAAATAAAAAAAATGCTGCTGATCTGTTTTCTTTCCATTATACATCAGTTTAATCATTCTTGTAAATAACCTCAAAAAATTTACAGTCCTTGATGAATTTGACAAGATCAAGGTCTGCCTGAGTCAAAGGTTTTAACAGAGAACTAGGGAAATCTTGTGCATGTTGTACACAAATGACTTGTTTATATCCAGATGACCAATCTTTCTTATTTTAAAGCATAGCTAGGCTAGAGTTAGCTATGATGATCAATGTCTGTGTCTGTCCATCTCTTCTCTGTGATGGTTTGTTTTGGTATCAACTTTTTTCAATTTTCCTTGAGCTACTTGATGAATTTTTCATGATAAAAAAAAGGATTAGCTATAGGTCAAAGTAAAAGTTCAAACAAACACTTTTTTCCCAAATTATTGTGCAAGCACTTTCTTTTTAGTAGACTTAATATTATTATATTCTTTTGGTTGAGATTTTAATTGTGATCCATTTGTCATTTGATACAAGGTGAGCAATGTGGCTGATAGGCCTCTTGTTTCGTGCATGCCTTTAGTCTGAAATACGCTTGCATGTTTTTTCAGGATCCAGCGACTACAATTCGGTTACATATGTATGAGACAATGATATGAACACAAAACAAGGTTGATTATTGGTGTGATATGGTGCACTTATTACTCTAGTCAGTAGTCACTGCAGTTCTGTAATCCTTCATGTTCATCCTTGCATGTAATATACTACCCTCATTTTTAACAGTGAAGGGGGGTTAGGGGGATGTTTGATTGTTTATAATTTTCCACAGCTTTTTGAAGGAAATGATTGGGAGCAAGAGTAGAATTTTGCTGTGGAGTTTTGTCTTTTTTTTCCTTGACATTTGGAATATGTACATGTAAGAGGATTATGGATTGTTTTTGAGCTGTCCACTTTTTTCAGTGTGTCCACATGTTTTAAACTTTCAAAACTAACATCTCACATTTGTTTTATTATTTGTCAAAGACAAGGTCAAATACAAAAAAAATGTCTGACAATTAGAAGTTTGCCTGGCAATCTTCAATATTTTGAGGTCGTTATACAAGTAACAATCCCTATTCTTGAGACAACTACAGGTTGTTTTACTCATTCAAATTAATGACAGTTTGTGATTTGATCTAAGATGCAGTACTGTAGGCCACAGCCCCTTAATAGTCTACTTTTTTGAACACTGAATGATTAATGAATGAACAGTGAACATAAAATTAATTCAGTGAACAATATGGATAGCAAAGGCTGAGTGCAGTGAGTTAACAATGTTTGCATAGTGAATAAGGTGTATGTAAAGGAGAAAAAAAGATTATTTTCCTTAAGTATTCACATTTCAGTAATAAACTATGTTATCTTAAGATGTTGGGAATTTATTAAAAGTGTGATGATAAAAAAAAAACATAAAAGTATTTTTTAGTATCAACAAGCTGTTTGTGTGGTTCTATTTTAAAGTGAATTTTTATATAAACCTGTGTACCAGTAGGTGGTTTTGAGCATAATACTCAGGTCAGGATATGTAGTAACTATATTAACATAATTGGTGAGACATTCCTTTGTTCAAATTTTATTTTAGTACATGTATTCAATGATTGATTGAACTGAATAAACTCTCAGAAAAAAAAGATTGCAAAAAATTGATGGGAGCAGTACAGCACCTCCATGTTTGCATTGTAAGTGTAGATTAGTACAACATTTCAGGTAGATCAGTATTGAATAAGATTTATGGGAGCAGTACTAAATATCAGGGATAGTACTTGGTATAGATCAGTATTGGATAGGATTTATGGGAGTTAGTAATTTAGTACTTTTCAGGAACTGTACTTGGTATAGATGAGTATTGGATAGATTAATTGGGAGTAGTACAATATTTCAGGGTTTGTACTTAATGTAGATCGTGTAAGTATTGGAAAGGATGAGTGGTACACCATGTCAGATTGCACTAAGTGTAGATTAGTACATCATTTCAGGGTTTTTACTTGCAACATTTCAAGGTTTGTATTCAGTGTAGATCAGTATCAGATAGGATTAATGGGAGCAGTGCAATGTTTCAGGGACAGTACATATGGATAAGTATTGGATAGGATTATGGATATTGGGAGCCGTTCAATATTCAAGGGATGGTACTTAGGATTAACATGAGAAATGAGCTGGCATTCTGGCTTTTCTGAAGTTTTTGAATCTAACTTATTTTACACATAAAGATATAATATAATTATACATGTGTATCCAATTGAAATATTTGGTGCAACTGGAAAATTTATTTAGGATGTAATCAAGTATTTAAGAATTATTTTATAATTATATTATATGATAAGGCATGTTAATGTTTTTGTTTAGTCCATATAATTTCGATATATGTAAGTTCCATGTAGATTTCCATTTTGAAAGAGCTAATTAAGGATTTAATTATGCTTTAGTCATATTAGATTTTGCTTGCGGGTTTTTTTTGTGGGGTTTTCATGATTCCTGATTTTGAGTATTGTGATTTTGTGTGCATGTGTTACAAATGAATTTGAAGTGTTTAATTCTCAAGTTTAAAATCCAAACATTTCCAATACACACATATCCCATTTCATCAATTAAAGTATCTTCATTTTTCTTTGCTTTTGTCTGTAACTCCCTTATTATAATACATATACATGTACAGTGTATATATTTTGCTTAATCAGTTATATTTTGCTACAGAAATCATCTGGCTAGCATTATATTACAATTGTTTTATAAACTTGATTTTGCTGTAAAAAAAAAAAAAAAAGCATTTGGTTTTTCGCAGAATGAATGTTAAAGAAATTCATGAGTTTTGCTATTTTTGTAGAAAATGAGAATAAAATGAAATGGGGGAGGGGATCAAATTAATTATTTAAGATTTTATGGCTACAGTAGTTTTAGTTAAAATGTTTGGGAATATGCTAATTACTTGTAGCTAATTAAACTGAAGAGCATGTACTGTAGTTATGCACTGACTCCTTCCCCATCCACTTACAGAAAAAAAAATATCTTAAAAGATATTTTTTAAATGTTTTTACTTAATTATTGATATTAATTAACATGACAACAAGTTCCAATGAAAATTTAAGAGTAACCTGGATAAACACACATTGTGACAGTGCATGTTTGAATTTTTGTTTATATTCAGAGATGACTTTACTTGTAGCTACATTCCGATCTAAAATAAAGTGAAAGGAATTTGTGGTATTTACTGTTTTATGACACCTAACACAGAAAGAGAGGGTCATGATTTACGTATTTATAATTTTTATCTATAGAAATAGGACACAGCACACTGATGGACATGATTTACATGTTCTGTATGTGGTTGTAAATTTTAATGGCAGATGTACTCAACTTTTGGAAAAACTGAGTGCCTGTTTATCAGTTACTGTGGCCATTGAGAAATTAACTAACAATAATTTAGCCATCAAAGGAAAAATGTTACACATCCCTAACAAAAATTTACTATAGATAACTATAGTTTACTATAGTGAAAACTTTGTTACTTTGGTTTACGATGAAACTTTACTCTGGAACTTTTTTTTAAATTTCAAAGCTTAAAATCTCTAAAATTTCAATAACAGTAATGTAAAATTTGGAAATAATGTGTGAATATTCAAATAATATTTTAAATTTAATATAAAAATGTGCATGTATGAATTGAAGAACAAAAAATAAAATGATCTGAAATCCATAGTAAAAATACTTTGATTTACTATAATGAAAAAACTTTGATACTATAGTAAACTATAGTACTTTTTTGTTAGGGACCTGATCATTATACAAATAAAGATATTTCTTACAACAAAAGTTATCAGACAGAGACTCTGTAGAGGAAATTTTAAAATATTTTTAATAGGAGCATATATTACTTTGTACTGTAATGATTTAATTGTTATAAAATTATATAAATTAATGCTTGCATTCTACACATGTAAAAAGCAACATATGTATGTATGCATCTGCAGTAGATAAATATTTTGCCTATTTATATATTTATATGGAATATTTTTTCATTGCTTTTGATTATTCAATAGTTAATTCAACAAACTTCTAGATAAATGTTAATGATGTAGGCTTTCTACAAAATGTATAAGCATGTCATTCTTTATAAGATTCTACACTAATTCCAGTAGTTGATTATAACAACGATTATAACCATGATTATAACAACGATTATAACGAAGATGTTGACAATGATTCTGTTCCTTTCAGTCACAGAGAAAAAGCGGAGGTAACCTCGAGCCGGGTGAAGTTGACCTCTCCGTAACCAAAGTCTTCCCCCAGAACAAATGGGTATGAAATATAACGGCATGGACCATTCGCCTCCTCATGCATGAATAATTATCAACTTTCTACTTGGCATGACTGAAATATTTCATCATACACATCTCTGTCCTCATGACCATTGTGTTCTCCGATATTGATAGCCCTGAATGATGTATTATATAGTAAACTGTGTTTGTATAATTCCATATATATGCATGGGAAATGCTGGCATAATTGTTGAAAGAGTGATGTCATTTGTATATCTGAATTATCTTGTTGCTAAGTGCCAGTATGTTAAAGACACAAATTTTTTTTATTATTTTATACAAACAATATAAGTACATTGTGTTTCTAGACCCAATGAGAGTGTGCTGACCCATAACTTGATTACATATGTGTGTGTGAGTGTGTGTATTTGCGTTTAGCTAAATACTCAACAATTAATTTACAAAATACTTATCTTAGCCAACCCTCCATTGCCCCATCTTGTCATTTCTGTAATCCTATAACATAGTGCCCTGATGTTTAAGTGTTTATTTTTTTTTTTTATTTTCATTACATGCAATAATTCTGAATTAACCAGTGTAAGTGCTAATATGTTTGGTTTCTGATTCACTTTTATCTGTAAGCTTTAAACATTTTACCAGATTGGAATGACTGCAATACATTAATGATTAAATCTACTTTGTATCATAATTAAACAGGGAAAATCATAAACTAATATCATTTTAACTTTAATCTTCATATTAATTTAATAAACCTTTTTATTCTGGATTTAAAGTTTATGCATAACAGGGTATAGTTAATATTGAGGAAATTCTCCCTTCTTTTAATCTGCCAAACAAAAAGCAAGTAGACTGTATTTTAATACATGTAGTTCTAAAATACATTTTTTTCCTGTTAAAACAATTTGGCTATTTTTCGTAGAAAGGTCCAACAGTAACTTATGACGTGAACAGTCAAGAGGTAGCTATTGTATCTCCTTCTAAAGATCAAAGTGAGTCAGGGCTTAAAAGACAGGGAAGTAGATTAAGGAGGACTTTTCAGCGGGTTCGCAGCAAATGATAGTGTTCTGCAGCAAATGATGGTGTTCTGCAGCAAATGAAAGCATTCTGTATACTAGTCCAAATTTTTTAGGTCATCTAGTCTAAAACAAATATTTAAGTTTTATATTTACGGAACATGTAACAAGCAAGATGTTTTCAATTCAGTTTTGATATACGGGGATTTTATAAAAGATAAAAAAAAAAAAATTCAATTTACATTAAACAAAGAAAATAAGAAAATGTGCATCCAAAATTCATGTGTTTTACAATATAATACTGCAGATAAACATTCATGTGTATATAACCTGTATTTCTTCTTTGATATGTTATATTATGGCATCAGCAGTGCATGAATGTTGTAGAATATTTTCAATAGTTACACCCAAACGTGTCTGTTATGTTATGTAAATTATTTTAGCAACGTAAGCTAATATAATAAGACTTAATAGCCATTCTCTGTAAGCATTTAAACTCTTATATAGGGAGTGTGGCACGCTAGGTCTTGGATTTTTACGAAACTTGGCACACATTCCTATATTGATGTATGAAACTGAAATTCATAATAAAATGGTTGCTATGGTCAATGGTTACCATGGCAACCAACATACATTTTTCATGGCCTACAAAATGCTAAATTTTGATGAAAAATGACCATTTTTGACTAATTAAAAGTCTTTAATACAAAAAGATATTTACATGACTTTATCTTTTTGTCAAAATACATCATTTTTACAGTTCTTTAGATAATTTCTAGTATTTGAGTAACTTAACCTCATAGAAAAAATATCCCCCCTTTTTAAGTATGATTTTTCTAAGGAAAAATTGTAGATTTTAGGCTCTTTTGAAAAGCCTGGTATAAATTTTTGCGGACATATTGGAAAAAATAAATACATTGGTTTGAAAGTCCATATATAGTTGTAATATAAACCATAAAGAACCACTTGGTATTCATATCTTGTTTTCATGTTACCATGGTTACAAACTAATGCTTTTTTAAGAATTCCAGACAAGGGCAATAGGTATCTACTATCAGTTTCCATATAAATACCTGAGTATTTTAAGGATACACCAAAGGCTTTTTTCAAGATTTTCAACAATTTTGAGATTTTTGGCTAAGAAAAAGAAGTTAATCACTGCTTCATAATGCATGTAAAATTCTTGTTAATTATGAAATGGTTTTCTAATTATTGAACAATAATTAAACATAAACACTACCACATGTGAATGTTCCGTTATTGAAGCTTCTGATTTGATCTGTGACTGCCTGCTGATGAAAGAAGCAATAAATCACTGTGACCACTTGGGGAATTCTTCACTAGCCACACAGAGGTTATCAGTAATTAAACTACAGGGATTCTAGATGTAGAGAAGGGGATCTAACAGATCACTGATGACCATAAAATAGGAGGCGGAGCTTAGCTCTTGCCATTTTGCCGGGAAATCTTTCTGATTCAGAATTGAACCTATTTTATTTAAATAAAAGCATCTAAATACAGTATTGAACCTCCCATTCTTGTGAATATGCATAGGAAATATGGCTAAGTGACAGGTATCCAAAGCTGAATCTCCAAGGTGTCATATATTTCTATCTTTGGCAGATTTTGTTGTGTAATGGGTTTTTGCCCTCTACTGTAAAGTAAGATCAGACAGTTTGTGGTATTATTTCAAAGGATTCAGCTACCTTATTTATTGACCATCTTCTCTGAAAATATGGATGGGTTGCTTCTCATATGTGTGTTCACAAAACCGTATCTCAGATTTTTTATATCTAGCTTAGTTTTGGAATTATTGAGGGAAATAATAAATTAGGCCAATAAATTGGTAACATTGAAGTGCAGATTGCTTTAACTTTTGAATTAGAAGATTTATCAAAAATCTGAGATACAGTTTTGAAGTTCAATCTTAAATCTACCTTGAGGCAAAATGACCACTTTGAGGGGTTAAATACAAAAAAGTTGATTTATAAAATATTTATGCACTAAAATTTACATTAATATTTAAATAATTTTTAAATAAGTTATTAATTAAAGTTAAAATTGGGATAATTAAATAGTAAATTTAACAAGCTTTCAAATGATATATACTTTTATTATGTTACCTTTGATAATGAAAGAATTACATGCAAATTAAATTCTGGCATTTGGAAACCTTTGGTGTATCCTTAAAATGGATTAAAACCAAATTTGTACATATAGTACACAATAGCAAAAACAAAGAAAAAAAATCAATTTTCATAACAAAAGGTCAAAGTTCAAGGTCAATATGGCTCGATTTAGATGGAAAAGTAAGGAAACTAAGCACATTTTTTCAATGCCATAACTAATACTTGTGTTTTAAACAACATAATTATGAATAAACAAAATTACAGTTCTGGTGGACAATACATGTAACTAGCATCACATGAATTGGTAAATACGGACAGAAGGTCAAAGTTCAAGGACACAATGGTATATAAAATTTGCCTTTTTGTCCCCTACTTTCACTTAAAGTGGGGGATATTTATTTAGGTCTGTCTGACGTCCATCCGTCTGTCAGTCTGTCTTTCTGCAACACTTTCGTTTCTGCACGATGTCGCGTGAAGCCTTTGAGTCTTTGCAATGAAAGTTTATATAACAACTCCCTGTGACCTAAGGAAGACCCCCATTGATTTTAAGGTCAAAGGTAAAGGTCATGAATCATAATTCTGTCTGTTTTAACACTTTATTTCCACGCAATATCTCAAAAACTTCGAGCTTTTGCAATGAAATTTTACACTGAAACTCCCTATGGCCTAAAGAAGACCACTATTGATTTCGAGTTCAAAAGGTCAAAGGTCAAGGTCAAATATTTATACATTCTGTTTGTGTGTAAACTTTTCATTTCCGTGCGATATCTCAAGAAGCTTTTAAGCTTTTGCAATGAAATTTTATATCATAACTCCCTTTGGTCCCGCCCGCAACTCTTAAAGTATCCCGTTCCCCCAACCCCACCATCCTCCGACCCCACCCCTCAAGATCCATACATGCTCTTTTTTTTCCTTAAGCAGGGGACACAGCTTCTCTGAATTAGCTTGTTAGTATAGCATTTAAACTCGGATATTGTGAATGTCGTATCCTGTTTTATATACAATGCATTTTACTGAAATTGGTATTACATTCTGACCTTTAGCTTGATGCATAATGTTAAAATGCTACGAGAATGGTTTCATTTATTGAAAAAAAAGTAGCCAACTCAAAATATTGAAAGCCTATACACGTACCATATTGAGTGACTTGTACGTAGAGCATTGTGCTACGTGCATGTAAATACACTCTTTTGTTGTTTTGGTAGACTAAGTCCTTGTTCTAAAATGTACATTTTTAGACCCTATTCAACACTCCACACTTTTCCAGTGACAGTCAGAATGTGTTTTCATGTGACTTTTTTTTTCAGAGAAGTTGACAGAAAGAGCCTAAATCCATTTTACTTTGCAATACAGTAAAAATCTATCATGTATTATTCTTAAAAACTTGAAAATTAAGAGACATTGAGATGATAAATATTTTAACCCAAATATGACTGGATTTAAGTAATAGATCTGCTACTTCCAATATTTAATCAATAATAATCTTTTGTAAAAATCTGCTGGACCTGCTCAGATAATCTGATTTTGTGTTTTCTCGAATTTATGTCGGTTGCTAAGTTTGAGTTGGTTGGTAAGCTTGATAGAATCGTACACCTTATGGTTTGTATTGTAAACATAATTTCTAAACTTGAGTCCTTGAAAATATTGAAAATAATCTGTCCCTGCCTCCTTCCTATTTTTTAAAATGAACATGATAAAGTAACCATTGACCAGGACTTACTCCATCCCTTCCAGGAACAATGTAAAAGCACTTACCCCAAATAAATGGGTAAGAGGCATTTGTAAGAAAAACACGGATCCGTTGTGAAACATTAAGAAACTTTATATATAAATATGAAAGAAAGCGGTTCATTCATAAGTGATTAACCCCAACCCGC